GTGTTCAGCCTGTCATTGCTCTGTGATACTGTATAGTCCGGTGTTCAGCCTGTCATTGCACTGTGATACTGTATTGCTGAGTGCTGAAATGACTTCCTCAAATCAACTCAAAAAGATTTCTGATTTTTCTCCTCATCCATGTACCGTAGTGAGGAAGCCTCATCACTGCATTTAGCTGTCCCAAGAAAGGGACAATCTCCTCTTGGCCACATTCTTTGTAATGATTATAAAAAGACACATGTAGATTTATCTGGAGCAATTTAGAAAATTCCAGGCTTCAAATTTACCATTCCCATGTATGCTGCTTCTTTTGACCCACAGTGACCCCTGGCCTGTCTGGTTGGCACCATCTCAGGTGGCAGTGCGATCCAAAGAGTGCCCAGGAGATTGGAGTTTAATGATGATCTAGGTACCAGGACTCGCTTGTTGGACCAACATGGGCTCTGGACCATGGCAATACCTGCTGTGCTGAGTCTTGTTCCTTCTGTCTTTGAGTTCGTCAACGGTGGCCCACTTGCAGAGTGGGGCATCTAATAAAAATGCCCTTATCCCTCTCCCACCTGACTCTCCCAGTTGAAATGTCTGGGTTGGGGGTGCTTGGGTCAAATGATGACGTTCTAATAGGAATATATGAACCAGAGGCAGTTGGATGACTGTGAGTTTGAAGCTAGTCTGAGCCACAGTGAGTTCCAGGCTAGCCAGGGCTCTATGTAGTAAGACACTGTTTCAAGGGGTTGGGGGGGGGAAGGAATTTGTGGATTTTGTGAGAGCGCAGGGAGAGCAATCACCCTGTTACCAAGGAAGGGATGCCTTAAGAAGATATGGCAGGAAAGACATTAATGAGCTTTGTGTACCTAACCCTTTTTCCCAGACCATTCCTTACCAAGGAAAGCACTTAATTCTACTGATCCTAAAAGTGTCAGAAATTCATTAGATTTAATCAATTTCTGGGCCTGTTGTGCCTCAATAGCTAGTTGATTGGCTGCTGTTCTAAGCAACCTTCCAAGGGGGTGGGAAACAGCAGGGGTTGTCCACTGAAGGGTCATTACGGTCAGCTCCAAATCACTGACCAAGGCTGGTGTGATCATAGACTCGCTAGGCCTTCTTTGTGGATCAGGACAGTCTTTGCAGTTGTTTTCATTTGATTATTTTTATTTTATGTGTATGTGTGTTTGCATGTGTGCATGTCCGTGCCCTATGTGAGTGCTTGGTGCCCATGGAAGCCAGAAGAGAGCATCAGATTCCCTGGCACTGGAGTTACAGATGGTTGAGAGCCACCATGTGGGTGCTGGGAAGGAAACGAAGGTCCTCTGGCAAAGCAGCAAGTACTGATGAGCAGCCATCCCTTTCATTTACTTTTGGTGACGAGTTCTTACTACATAATCCAGGCTGGCCTATAACTTGTTATGTAGCCCAGGCTGTCCTCAAACTCAGATTTCCCTTGCCTCTGGAATTAAAGGTATGGGCCACCACACCTGTTCCCTGAAACATGCATTCACCTGACCTTTCTGCTAAACAGGACAGGACTGGATGGGACTGAAATAAAGGGTTATACTTGGCTTTTGGAGTATGTGAGTGGAACCCAGAACCCTGGGTGTGCCAGGCAAGTACTCTACCACTAAGCTGCACCCCAGCCACTTGATGGTGTTTCTTCTTTAGAGCAGGCATTGAGCTAAGTGCTTCTCAGGAAAGTATTTCAGTTAATTTTGTTGCCAGGGTCTGGTATTTCTGAGGCTCAGCTGTAACTCATTATGGAATGGAGGCTGACTTTGAACTTTGGGCCCCCCCTGCCTCCACCTCTCGAGTGCTGGGAATCACAGGTGTGCACCACCATGCCTTGTCTATCCTGCTTAATTCTCTGGAGAACACTGAGTTAGGTCATATATCATTTCCACTTGCCAATAAGGAAACTGAGGCTTGGAGTAGATAAGCTGTTTCCATGGTCACCTGGCTGGAATGGTCCATCCCTCCATTCTGAGAACTGTGCTCCTCTGGTCCTCATCAACAGCCTTTTCCTGCATGGGAAGAGGGAGAGGAATAGTGCAGCAGAAGAGGACTGGGGTATGACTCAGCCTCAGTTCATCCAGTGTGGAGAGGACTGGGGTGTGACTCAGCCTCAGTTCATCCAGTGTGAAGAGGACTGGGGTGTGGCTCAGCCTCAGTTCATCCAGTGTGAAGAGGACTGGGGTGTGGCCCAGCTTCAGTTCATCCAGTGTGGAGAGGACTGGGGTGTGACTCAGCTTCAGTTCATCCAGTGTGAAGAGGACTGGGGTGTGGCTCAGCTTCAGTTCACCCAGTGTGAAGAGGACTGGGGTGTGACTCAGCTTCAGTTCATCCAGTGTGGAGAGGACTGGGGTGTGGCTCAGCCTCAGTTCACCCAGTGTGAAGAGGACTGGGGTGTGGCTCAGCCTCAGTTCACCCAGTGTGAAGAGGACTGGGGTGTGGCTCAGCTAGGAAGAACTTAGCTGAGGAAGCTAAGGCTCTGAGTCCAATCCACAGTTCATTTCATTTCATCATCAAATCTTAGCAGTGTTCATTATTTTAGTAGCCACAGTAAGTGATACATCTGAGCTAGCCATGGTAGCATGCATCTGTAATCCCAGCATTTAGGAGGCTAAGGCAGGAGGATTGCTTTGAGTTCAAAGCCAGTCAGATACATTATGAAACTCCAGCTCAAAATATAAAAATCGGCTGGGAATGTGGCTCAGTGGTAGCCTGCTTGCCTATTATGTTCAAAGGCCTGGGTTTGACCCCTAGTACCACCAAAAAACATCACCGAGAGAGTGGCAGGCACATTTAGGGTACCATCCTTTTTTTTTTTTATTTATTTTACATGCTTTAATCACATTATTCTTTATATTTTTTGTGCTTCGCCCTGTGCCACCTTGATTACTCCTCTTTGCTATTTTCTTGGCGCCTTTTTTAAAATTTTATAATTTAATTTTACATATCAGCCACAGATTCCCTTGTTCTCCCCCCTCCCGCCCCCCCCCTTTTTTTTTAGTTTTTCAAGACAGGGTTTCTCTGTGTAGCTTTGCACCTGTCCTGGAACTCACTCTGTAGACCAGGCTGGCCTCGAACTCACAGAGATCCGCCTGCCTCTGCCTCCTGAGTGCTGGGATTTAAAGGCGTCCGCCGCCGCCCATAGTGTACCATCTTTGGAGAGAGATCTTCAGGACAGAGTTGTCTCCCTGCAGGCCCCTGTAATGCCATCCTTTTTCTTTAGATTTGATGAGCAGCCAGGTGTGATGGCACACGCCTTTAATCCCAGCACTCAGAAGTGAGAGGTAGGGGGATCTCTGTGAGTTCAAGACCAGCCTGGGCTACAAAGTGAGTTCCAGGACAGCCAGAGCTATGTAAAGAGACCCTGCCTCAAAAAAAAAAAAAATGATGTGATGAACAGTCCCCATCTCCATCACCCGACACCATCCCCAGAACCACGTCTTTCCTCAGTCTAGAAGCTTCCCAGAGACAAAGCCAGGCATGTGTCAGTCCTATTGAATTGTCCAAGTACCACCCAGCTCACTGCAGCTCCTAGAGCCATATAAAAATACAGAACTAGCATATGCCCAGCTCTAGCTCACATGAATATTAACAGAGATATCAACTCACTGATCCTTGTTGAAAATTGAAGAAAGTGGGTGGAACTCACAAGTTTAATCCCAGCACCTGGGAGGCAGAGACAGGTGGATCTCTGAGTTCGAGGCCAGCCTGGGCTACAGAGTGAAACCTAGAGCTGCACAGAGAAACCCTGTCTCAAAAAATGGGAAAAACAAACAAACAAAACTGAGGAAGCAGAGGCGTGGGGAACCTGAAGGATTTTTCTAATTGACACACCTGGCCCCATGCAGCCAGGATAATGAAGGCTGTGACCTCGGTGGTTGGCTTTCTCCTTGGCTCTCCTGTCTTCATCAGTCTCCAGCCAGTTCTTACAGGCATCAGGAGTCTGCACACCAAGGGTTCCAGTCATGTCCCCATGGTGGCCTGTGTAACCCTAGTCAAGTCCCTGCCTTCTCTTAGCCTCAGGAAGTTGAGTAATCCACACATTCTCTGAACCCGGGTCTGTGCTGCTGCTTCTTCGTCTTGTTGACCTGTGAGTCCCACCCACCTATCTTCAGGACATTTGTGGGGTTTCCCTTCTCATTCTTCATTCTAGAATCATGGGCAACCTTAAAATCAGGCATGCTCTGTTTGGTTTCTGCCCCTAACTCACTGGGTAACCTGAGTCAAATTGTTTCACCTTTCAGAGGTTTTCCCCTGTGCATTGTCACTGAATGGATGAAGTGACCGAAACTACCTAGCTGTGTATATTGTAAATGACAGATGGTCTCGTCACCCTTCATGTAGTCAGTCAACAAAGCCCAGCACCCATGGTTGTCTATCATTGCTCTGGGATCTGGAGACAACGCTGCGCCTTCTTTAAAGGGTGGGGACATAGACAATGAGCAAGTGGACATGCTGATCCTGAGAGAAGGTTTCAGGGTTGGAAGTGAACTCACGGATCGTGCGTGCGTGCGTGCGTGCGTGCGTGCGTGCGTGATGTGTTGGATCTCAGCGCTTCACAAGTCTTGTGTGGTGTGGTGAGTGCAAGCCCAGCACTGGGGAGGTAGAGATAGGGTAGAGGTCACCCTGGGCTACACCTGCAGGTAGGTTAGAGGTCACCCTGGGCTACACCTGCAGGTAGGTTAGAGGTTACCCTGGGCTACACCTGCAGATAGGGTAGAGGTCACCCTCGACTACACCTGCAGGTAGGGTAGAGGTCACCCTCGACTACACCTGCAGGTAGGGTAGAGGTCACCCTGGGCTACACCTGCAGATAGGGTAGAGGTCACCTTGGGCTACACCTGCAGGTAGGTTAGAGGTCACCCTGGGCTACACCTGCAGATAGGGTAGAGGTCACCCTGGGCTACACCTGCAGGTAGGGTACAGGTCACCCTCGACTACACCAGCAGGTAGGGTAGAGGTCACCCTGGGCTACACCTGCAGATAGGGTAGAGGTCACTGTAGCAGGAATCTTAAAAGTACTTATTAATAAAATCAAACCCGAGGCCAGTTATCGGGGTCAATGCTGGTAGATCAGAGAGACAGAACAAGCCACAGCTATCTCACCTTGCCAATTCCTCAGCTGGTCCTGTTTCCTCAGACTGGAAGCTTCTGGGTCCTCATCCCAATGGCTCTCAGCTGAACTGCTGCTTAAAAGCCTGAATCAGCCACATGCTTAACCAGCCAAATGCTTAACCAGCCAAAATGCCTCTAGTTTCTGGTCCTCAAGCCTTATATACCTTTCTGCTTTCTACCATCACTCCCTAGGATTAAAGGCTTGCTTCTTGGGATTAAAGGCGTGAGTCACCATGCCTGGCCATTTCCAATGTGGCCTTGAACTCACAGAGATCCAGAGGGATTTCTGCTTCTGGAATGCTAGGATTAAAGGTGTGTGCGATCACTTCCTAACTAGTGGCTTCTCTGTTCTCTGACCCCAGATAAGTTTATTAAGGTACACAATATTTTGGGGAACACAATACCACCACAGGTCACCCTGGGCTACACCTGCAGGTAGGGTAGAGGTCACCCTGGGCTACACCTGCAGATAGGGTAGAGGTCACCCTGGGCTACACCTGCAGGTAGGGTAGAGGTCACCCTCGACTACACCTGCAGGTAGGGTAGAGGTCACCCTGGGCTACACCTGCAGTTTGAGGCCAGAGACTCTAAAAACAGGAGGCAGCCAGGTGATGGTGGTGCATGCCTTTAGTCCCAGCACTTAGGAGGCAGATGCAGCCAGATAGCTAAGTTCCAAGAAAGCCAGGGCTACACAGAGAAACAATGTCTCAAAAAAACAAAAAGTACTCTCTTCTCTTGCAAAAGACCCAGGTTCAGTTCTCAGCACCACATAGCACTCACAACCATCTGTAGCACCAGAGATTCTGGAGATCCAGTGCCCTCTTCTGGCCTCTGAAAGTACCAGGTATGCACATGGTGCGCAGACACACACACAGATACAACGTGCACACAAATAAAAATAAACAAATAGAGCCAAGCATGGTGGTGCATGCATTTAATCCCAGCACTGGGGAGGCAGAGGCACATAGATCTCTGTGAGTTCAAGGCCAGCCAGGGGTACATAGTGAGACCCTGTCACCAAATAAATTTCTACAATTTATTTACTTACTTTGGTTGTTTGGTTGACTTTTTTTTTTTTTTTTTTTTTTTTTAGACAATGTTTCTTTTTGTAGCCTTGGCTGTCCTGGAACTAGCTTTGTAGACCAGTCTGGCCTCCAACTCACAGAGATCCACCTGCCTCTGCCTCCCAAGTGCTGGGATTAAAGACTTGCACCACCCTCCTAAAAATAATTATTTAATTAAAAATATTTTATGTGTATTAGTGTTTTCTTTGCAAGTATGTCTGTGCACCACATGCTTGCAGTGCCCAGAGGCCAGAAAAGGACATCAGATCCCCTGGGAATGAAGATAAAGACAGTTGGGAGCTGCCATGTGGGTGCTGGGAATTGAATATGGTTCCCTGGAAGAGCAGCTTTTGATCTTAACCACTGAACCATCTCTCCAGCCCCTTGAAAAAGTTTTTTTTTTTTTAAAGATTTATTTGTTTATTATGTATACAATGTTCTGTCTGCATGTATGTCTGCAGGCGGGAAGAGGGCACCAGATCTCATTACAGATGGATGTGAGCCACCATGTGGTTGCTGGGAATTGAACTCAGGACCTCTGGAAGAGCAGTCAGTGCTCTTAACCTCTGAGCCATCTCTCCAGCCCTTGAAAAAGTTTTTAAATATTTGTTCTATTTTATGTGTAGCAATGTTTTGCCTGCACACATGTTTGTACACCACATTCCTGCCTGGTACCTGAGACGGTCAAAAGAGGATGTCTGATACCCTGGAACTGGAGTTACTGATGGTTGTGAGCTGCCATGTGGGTACTGAGAATCAAACCCAGGTCCTCAAAAGAGTAACAAATGCTCTTAACTTCTGAGCCATGTCTCCAGCCCTTGAAAGATGTTTGTTTGGGTTTATTTGGTTGGTTGGTTTTGGTTTTTCCAGACAGGGTTTCTCTGTGAAGCCTTGGCTGTCCTGGAACTGGCTCCATGGATCAGGCTGGCCTCAAACTCACGGAGATCCGCCTGCCTCTGCCTCCTGAGTGCTGGGATTAAAGGCGTGCACCACCACCACCTGGCAAAAGTATTTCTTTAAAAAAAAAATATGTGGACAGCCATCCTGAGGATGACAGCTGAAGTTATCGCTGGTCTCCACTGGCAAGTGAACACACATATACCATTCACCCCCACAAGTCCCCTGCATCTACACAGAAGTACACAGACATATACACAGAAAATAAATAAGATGGGCAGCCGTGGAGGGTGAGGAGGCTAGAAAAGACAGGTAGAGCAGGATGCCATGTTGAACCGTCTCAGTTTATCCTGCAGGTCCACTCCATCTTCCTACAGCATAATGGGTGGTCACAACTGGCTTTTGCACCCCCAGGATCAGCTGGAACTGGACAGGAGGAGACTGGAGATATGATTCATTTCTCAAGCTCCTTTCTGACTAACTGCATCGGCTCAGGAGCCTTAGGTGTCTGCTGAAGACTCACAGTGTCTGAGTGTTGCCCTCCAGGGTTCTCTTCAGTTAGCCTGGGGATGTAAAGGCTCTTCTCCTAGTCTCCTCGGTGGTGGCGGTGGTGGTGGTGGCGGTGGCGGCGGCGGTGGCGGTGGCGGTGGCGGTGAGAAGCTCTTCCCTCTGTTATTAGTCAGCAGGGAAAGGGTTCTTTCCTGGACGGTTCCTCCACCCTGCTCCACTCACCTACTTGAAGGGTGCCAGTCACTTCTTGCTAAGGGCCTGGGAACCTAAGGAGGCTGGCAGTGATCTCGTGTGGACCGTCTCGGTCTAAGGTGGTCTAAGCTGCTGCTCTCTCATTGTTCCTTGTCCCTGAGTCCCTGCAGCAGCCCAGGACAAGGGTCGTCTCCCCGCCAGGCACTACTGGTGACACGCCCCTTGTAAAGCATTGATCTTGGCTTTTCCACGCCAAACTCCTTCCGAGTCCCCCTGATGCCTCCTGGGTCTTTAGTGGCTCTCTCTCCTCCCCGGTGGTTTCTCTGGGCCCTTTCCTCACACCAACTGAGTCACCCTTTCCCATGGTGTAACTGTTCCCTGTGTGCGGAAGACTGAGCCTCTGTCCCGTCTGCCTTGGGCTCTGGTGGCTCTGCTTAGAAGACTTGAAGTGGCCGGGCGGTGGTGGCACACACCTTTTTTGTTTTTTGTTTTTCGAGACAGGTTTTCTCTGTGTAGCTTTGTGCCTTTCCTGGAGCTCACTTGGTAGCCCAGGCTGGCCTCGAACTCACAGAGATCTGCCTGCCTCTGCCTCCCGAGTGCTGGGATTAAAGGTGTGCACTACCACCGACCGGCTAGGTGGCGCACACCTTTAATCCCAGCACTCAGGAGGCAGAGCCAGGTGGATCTCTGTGAGTTCCAGGCCAGCCTGGTCTACAGAGCGAGATCCAGGACAGGCACCAAAACTACACAGAGAAACTCTGTCTCAAAAAAAAAAAAAAAAAAAAAAAAGGAGAAGACTCGAAGTGGACCTTCCCAGTGCTTCCCAGTGTTTCCCTCTCCTCTCTTTTCTCCCACCCAGCCAGGGGATCAGGCCAAACCCTGAGACTCATTCATATCACCTACCTCTCACAAAATCTCTTACATTCCACAGCCCAAATCCAAGCAGTCACATTCCTCCCAGAGGTGAAGTCAGCAGCCCCCCCCCCATTGCCCTGATTCAGTGCCCACTGATGAAAATTAAACCCAAATTCCTTACCATGACCTACATGGACCCAGACTGCCCTGCCCTCTCCCATTCCGGCCCTGTTGCTCTCCCGGCCTTTGCTCAGACTTGAGAAGGATAAAGAACAGATCTTCTTTCCCTCTCGTCCCTCGGTGGTGTGGCTGGCCCTTTGCAGCCTCCTTTCCATCTTCCCCAGTCTCCCGGGGTTTTCCTTCAGCGTCTGCTGGGAAAGCCTGTTGGAAAGAAGGCTTCCTGCAGCCCACCACTGCTTTTCTCCGCTTCTCGGCTGGGTAACTAGATCTCATTTCATGAGCAAGAAATCCAAGGCTTGGAGAGACTGAGACTCCACGCCTGGACTGTTGGACTGTGCTGCGTTCCAAGGTGAGCTGCCGCCTACTCTAGGCCGGGGAGGGCCGGGTTTCTATGAGTGTGAAGGAAAAAATGAATGTAAAAATGTTCAGCACCTCTCCTGCAGGTGGTAAGTATTCAGGGTTACTGCCTGCTGCAGAGTGTGACTAGAGCAGGAGCTGGGGGGCCCCCTCACAAGTCCTCCTGGATTCCAGCAGAAGGGAACCCTCCGGGGGGGATGCGGAGGCCACCCCCTCCCAGCACTGCAGCAGTGAGTGGCCCAAGCTACTGACTGATTCAAGCCCGTCTCATCAAATGGTCTTCCCTGGTCCCTCTGAATCTACCCAAATAAACTCTGCCTTAAAGTGAGAACCACTAGCTCCCTGCAGACCTGTGCCTAAAGCTAAGCCCAGCCCCCTCTTCCCGCCAGATCACTACCCCATGGTTCCCCCGTGAGAGGGTTTGGCATGGACCTGACTTGGCATAGTCCCGACCCTGGTCACCCCCTAGCCCTGCTAAGTTCTTTGAGTCAGACACTGGATCCTGACGCCTCCTGGCATGCTCTCACCCTATGGTCCAGCTCCAGGACACCACAGCCTCTCTTTCAAGCCAGTGAGTTAGCCAGCTCCTCTCCAGCCTTGAGCAAATTCAAGACCCTTCCCCAGCCCCTGCCAACCCCTGCCAACCCCTGCCCAGGGGCCTTGCTCCTCCCCAACCCCCTGAGCACTCAAGTAGCACCCCCCTTCTCGGCTGTTAGCCTGGGAAGGGGGCCAGGCCCTGAGCTCAGACCTTGGCGATTCCAGAGTGTCTGAGGCCCAGAGCCAGCGCCGCCAGCCAGGCCAGACGAAGGGAGAGGGGGAGGTGGCAGGGTGGGCACCAGGAAGCCCTCTAAAAGGGAGGTTGGCAGGGAAGCTGGGCTTCTAGCTTTGTTCTTTCTGCTCTTCTTCCTGACCCGACAGACTTCTTTCTTGGGCCTCAGTGAACACTGGCTAGAAGGTGCTCCTACTTAAATCCTTTCCTTCGAGAGAAGATAAGGATTAAGGAGCCATGACTTCGGGGCTTCGAGGACCCCTACATGTACGAAGGTCAATGGGCAAAAGTTAACAGGCCTCTGGTCCTCCAAGCAAGGCCCATCTGCCTCGGTTTCCCCGTTTCGACCGGGAGAGAAAGGAGCTAGGTGGGGAGGTGTGCTCAGGCCTCCACACCCCGCCCGGAGGAATCTGGCGGGACAGGCCGGCGAGTCCCAGGTGAGGACTCTGGAAAGGACCCAGCTCGGTTCCCGCGCCGGGCGGGCACCTGGGGGACAACCCCCACTCCAGCCGGCGCCCTCCTTGCTGCATGCACACCGTCGCTTTTCCCCGCAGCAGTGACGACGCTTGAACCAGGGGGGAAAGAGAGAGAAAGGAAAAAAAACTGTCTCCCTGGCCCAGGGCCAGCGTCCCAGCCCCCCTCGCCGCCGGCGCGCTCCAGCCAGGGAAAACAACTGCTCACTTCTCCCTGCGTCCTCCCCGCGCGCTCCCTGCTTCCCGGCGGCCGCGGGAGAGGAGCCCGGCCAGGGGGAGGCGCGGAGCGGGCCGGCCGCCCGGCCTTCCTCTCCCCTCGCTCCTCCTCTCCGCCTCCACTTGCTCCGGCCTCCTCGCTCCTGCCTCAGTTCGGGGCCTGGCTGGGTTTCTCCCGGCCAGGGAAGTTTTCTTCGCTCTACTCGCGGGGCGGCTTCCGTCGCTCTCCCTCGCAGCGGGGATCCCGGCCGCTCCTGCTGTCCCCTCCCTGCCCTCGGCCTCGGCTTCTCCCCCCCACTCCCCACCCCCGCTTTGCCCTCTGCAACCCTCTCCCGGGCTCCCAGCTCTTGATCCCCAGCCCGGGCTCCCCCACCCCCGCCCCCCGTCACCTCCCCGGGGTCGTGCGGCCCCGGATGCCCGGGCCCCGAGGGGCTGCCCGCGGCCTGGCCCCTGCGATGCGCCGGGCCGGGACATCGGGGCTGCTGGCGCTGCTGCTGCTGGCGCTGCTGGGCCCGGGCGGCGGGGCCAAGGGGGGGCCGGCCGGTGAGCGGGGCACGGGCGGGGGCGGGGCGCTGGCCCGCGAGCGCTTCAAGGTGGTCTTTGCGCCCGTGATCTGCAAGCGGACCTGTCTGAAGGGCCAGTGTCGGGACAGCTGTCAGCAGGGCTCCAATATGACGCTCATCGGAGAGAACGGCCACAGTACCGACACGCTCACCGGCTCTGGCTTCCGCGTGGGTGAGGGCCGGGGGCGCTGGCTGGGGGCATAGGGAAGAGCAGTACCAGGCAGGAAGCAGAGTGGATCATTTGGGCATAAGAGATGGGTACAGCGATGGGAGATCTGGGGGCCAAGGGGCTTGAGAGGCTGCAGTCCTTAGGAGCGAGCCAGAGTTGAGGGGCTGCATGGAAGCCTGGACTTTAGGGTTGAGGCTTGGACTGGGGTCCCGGATGACGCAGGCTTCTTAGGACGTGCTCAGTTCTAAGGAGCATACCGGGGTTGGAGAGATGAGAGCCGGGGTAGGAAGTCCAGAGAAGCAGGTAAACATTTCCCTAAGAAACGGACATCTTTTAAAACTGTGTAGTTTGTCGTGGTGGAAGGAGACACCTGTGTTCTCTGGGAGGAGGAGCTAAGGTCAGGACTCTGGTGAGGGAGTTGGTTGTTGGCAAAGTCTAGGGGGGGAAAGCTTTGAGGCCTAATAGTGGGGTGTTAAGAAGTGGTACAGGCCTGGAGGGGGATCGTTTTGGGTCTTCAATCAGCTAATCCATTTCATATATCACTCATAAGCTCCAAACATCTCAAAGGCCCCAGAGCTGCCTCCACCCCACGACTGAGGGACCTCCTGGTCAGCTTAGAGTCCACCCCTTCCTCAGCATCTCTTTAAAGAGAAGGCCTGGGGCTCAAGACTCCTCCCCTGGAGCCCTGCGGGCCAGGCCAGGGGGGAGGTGTCCCAGCAGTAATTACCCTCCTGGACAGGGTAATTAGGCCATGCCCAGGATGGTACCAGGAAAACAGCCCCTCTCACGAATTCCTTGGTTTACTCACAGCTCCAGACCAAAGGAGTCCCCGTCATGTGTTTCACAGTTCTCATGAGGGTGTGTGTGTGTGTGTGTGTGTGTGTGTGTGTGTGTGTGTGTGTGTGGTGTGTACCGGGACATGCACAGACTTTGGCATGGCCCACTGAGATTAGTTCGCCTTCTGTGTGTCTCCAGTCACTGTCTGGGAGTGTTTACACAGTAAGCCCGTGTTTGTGTCAGAATGAGTCTGTGTGTGTGACGGGATGACTGTGCATGGGAGTGTATGTGTGACCAGCCTCTCAGGCCCCCTGCCTGGTCATCCTGTGCAGGCTGCTGTCTTTACCCATGCTGCCCACATCCCCCAGGCTCGGTGCCCGGGCCACAGTGGGAGGGTGTCACTGAGAGGTCACTCTCACCACTGTGGGTGACTCACTGGAAGGCAGGAAGGAGAGGATCCTGCCTCCTCTGGCCCGGGACACACCTCTGTTGCCCTTGAGGCCTGGTCTCTGGAGACGATGCAGGATGGGATGGGCTAGTCTGAGATGCTCTGAGTACACCCTGATGATCAGGAATGAGTTAGGGTTGCCCTCTGTGAGGACACAGCCACCTTCCCACCCCCAGAAAGTGGAGCAGCCTTGGAACAGGCAGGAGAGGGCTGGAGATGGAGCTCAGGGACACAAGACACAAGTCTTTTCCTCACCCCTGTGCCTCCTCTGGAACACAGAGCTGAGGATCACCAGGCCTTGTCCTCCAAAACACCTTGCATAGTGGGAGAGGCAGGTATGACCACAGCTCAGGAAAGTGCCAGCCAGGCTGGGCAGGGAGTGGAGAGCGGGGAAGATTCCTATCTACGAGAGAAGCCGGGCCCACAAGGGTCCGGTCTGGACATGCGGCAACAGTGAAGGACTCTGGACTAGGGGAAGGAAAGAGATAAAACCGTGAGAATACTGGTAAGGGGTAGGTAGGTTCTGGGCCAGAGGTGTGCAGGGGAAGAATAGAGGGAGCTGGACTGAGAGAAGGTTCTGGAACATGGCCTCAAATGTTCAGACAGGGAGTAGAACAATAAGATGAGTGAAGGGTGGGGTTCTTTTTTGCTAGAACTTTGCCTGAGGCAGGTCTCTCCAGTCACACTGGGGTTGTGGACAAGGGGGGGAGAGGCAGAGACCCTGAGAAGGGTCGGAGATGACCTCAGGGAACACTACAGAGGCTGTAACTGGAGGGCTGGAGTCTGAGCTTAACAGACAAGAACTTCCAGCTGGACAGAGAGAGGTCCTGAGTCCTGTCAGTATCCTGGGCCAGATCCTGGTGAGATTAGATGTGGCGAGTCGTTGGCAGCTGTATGAGCTGGGGTAGGTAGCGAGATGGAGGGAGCAGGGGAGGATGAGCTAGGGGACAGACTTGAGACCTGCACTAAGGAGAGAGCTTTAGCTCTCACTTCTTCTATGATCTGTACCACACTGGGCCAAGCATCTGTTCAAGGGAACATTGCCACCGTGGATGAGGGCCCAGAAGCATGGGCAGGGAAGTTGCTCAGAGACATAAGGGCCAATGACCAGGATTTAAGCCTGGAACTTAAGATTTCAGAATCCATCACGGATAGAAAGGTGTTGGTGACCCACAGAAGGCCATTTCCATGTGTGTGACCTGTTAGAAAAGTCAGCTTCCCAATTAGGGCAGAGCCCATACGTGGAAGGAAGTTGAGCCAGGATGTGGGTGATGATGGCCTGGGGACTGAAGAGCGACCAGGCCCTGACCCCTGTCTCCTCCGCAGTGGTGTGCCCTCTGCCCTGTATGAACGGTGGCCAGTGCTCCTCCCGAAACCAGTGCCTGTGCCCCCCGGACTTCACGGGGCGCTTCTGCCAGGTGCCTGCTGCAGGAACTGGAGCCGGCACCGGCAGCTCAGGCCCCGGACTGGCCCGGACTGGGGCCATGTCCACAGGCCCGCTGCCGCCCCTTGCTCCAGAAGGCGAGTCTGTGGCTAGCAAACACGCCATCTACGCGGTGCAGGTGATCGCGGATCCTCCTGGGCCGGGGGAGGGACCCCCTGCCCAACACGCAGCTTTCTTGGTGCCCCTGGGGCCAGGACAAATCTCAGCAGAAGGTACTAGGAGACGGGCAACCCGGGGGTGCTGAAATGGGCAGGCAATAAGGGTGGCTAGATCTGGGCGCGGGTCAGGCCCTGGAGGAGCTCAGCGAAGCGACCCTCCAGACGCCGGACAACCCTGAGGCCACTGCGCCCCGCCCCCCCAGTGCAGGCTCCGCCCCCCGTGGTGAACGTGCGTGTCCATCACCCTCCTGAAGCTTCCGTTCAGGTGCACCGCATAGAGGGGCCGAATGCAGAGAGCCCAGCCTCCTCCCAGCTCCTGCTGCCGCATCCCAAGCCCCCTCACCCGAGGCCGCCCACCCAAAAGCCACTGGGCCGCTGCTTCCAGGATACACTGCCCAAGCAGCCCGTGAGTAAACCCGCAATTCCAGAAGAGCAATCCTTCCATCTCAGGGTCACCCTCCCTATCGGGACAGCATGCAACTGAGTGTCACAGGTTAGGGCTGGGAAAAAGCAAAGGGGCTTCGGGAGGGAGGCAGGTGGGGGCGGGGCGCTCTGATTACTCCCCACATCCCTCTCTCTAGTGTGGCAGCAACCCTTTGCCCGGCCTCACCAAGCAGGAAGATTGCTGTGGGAGCATCGGTACTGCCTGGGGACAAAGCAAGTGTCACAAGTGCCCACAGCTCCAGTGTGAGTGCCTGGCTCGGCGGTATCTCCCTTAGGGTGACCCAGCGATCTTCCCCCGCATCCCTGCACAGGCGTCTCCAGCCCTATGCCCACCGGGTGATCTCTTTCCTCCCAAGAGCCCTCCCTCTCTTCTCCCCTGCAGAGCCCCAGTATTTCCTCTCCTTGTTGCTATTGTGTCTGTCCTTTCTCTGCAGATACAGGGGTGCAGAAGCCGGGACCTGTACGTGGGGAGGTGGGTGCTGACTGCCCCCAGGGCTACAAGAGGCTCAACAGCACCCATTGCCAGGGTATGGTCAGCTGGAGAGTCTGGACTGTGGGGTGGGCAGGTGGTCACGGTGGGGTGGTGTCCCAAAGTGAGAGAGAGGGAACTCTAACTAAAGCAGAAGCCTGAAGAGTATGGAGCAGCTTGCGGCCACCTCATGGCCCCAGCTGCAACGATCAAACTGCTCTCACAGACATCAATGAATGTGCAATGCCCGGCATGTGTCGCCATGGAGACTGCCTCAACAACCCTGGCTCTTATCGCTGCGTCTGCCCACCCGGTCATAGCCTGGGCCCCTCACGGACACAGTGCATTGGTGAGACTTGGTCTCCTGGTCCTGGGAACCCACAAGGCATGGATGGGAGGGGCACAGCTCCAACCAGACGGAGTCGGAGGTCACAAGAAGTCAGAGTGGGTTAAGGGCTGATAGCAGAAGCAACAAGGCCCAGAGCGGATAGAATCAGTGAGTCACATGAAAGCTTGAGGTTAGAGCTCACAAGAGGTCGGATGAAATCAGGGTCCTATAAATCACTGGTTTGATGAGGAGAACAAATGAAATTCAGAACTCGAATCAGGAGTCAGAGGTCACAAAGGTGTCAGGAAGTCACAAGAATTCAGGGCCACCTATGGCTCGAGAGTTGACTGAACCAGAGAGGCAGAGTCTGGAGCATCTGGGCTGAGAGGGGACAATGTTCAGGTCCTGCCCTCACTACCACCCCTGCAGCCGACAAACCAGAGGAGAAAAGCCTGTGTTTCCGCCTGGTGAGCACCGAACACCAATGCCAGCATCCTCTGACCACACGCCTCACTCGCCAGCTCTGCTGCTGCAGTGTGGGTAAAGCGTGGGGGGCACGCTGCCAGCGCTGTCCAGCAGACGGTACAGGTCAGTCAGGCGCATGGGGTAGGTAATGTGGGGGGATGAGCTGTGTGCCTGCCCAGGAATTCACTTGCTGTGTCCACATCTTGACCACAGCAGCCTTCAAGGAAATCTGCCCAGCTGGGAAGGGGTACCATATCCTCACCTCCCACCAGACGCTCACCATCCAGGGTGAAAGCGACTTTTCCCTTTTCCTGCACCCCGACGGACCACCCAAACCCCAGCAGCTCCCTGAAAGCCCCAGCAGAGCACCGCCACCTGAAGACACAGAGGAAGAGAGAGGTCTGGCCTGATCCAGTGACTCCAGATCCACAGATAAGACTCACAGCCTAACTGTCCAAGGCGGTGGTTCTCAACCTGTGGGTCCTGATCATTTTGGGGGTCACATATCAGATATTTACATGTTATGATTCATAACAGTAGCAAAATTACAGTTATGAAGTAGCAAGGAAATAATTTTGTCACGGGGGGGGGGGGGGTGTCACCACAGCATGAGGAACTGTATTAAAGGGTCACAGTAAGCCAGGCGGTGGTGGCGCACACCTTTAATCCCAGCACTCGCGGGGGCAGAGCCAGGCGGATCTCTGTGAGTTCGAGGCCAGCCTGGGCTACCAAGTGAGTTCCAGGAAAGGCGCAAAGCTACACAGAGAAACCCTGTCTC